TTGTTTCTACACAAGGAACTTCTCTTTCAATACCAAAATTGATTGTTTCTTCTGCAATCATTCTTGTTAGTCTTTGAACTTCATTCATAGTTACAAAGAATGGAACTATTCCATAATCGTTTATGTTTTTACCTGATGATTCTAATATAGAATTAATGTCTTCTAAAGATTGTATTTCTGCAGCTTGAACAGATATATTTTCATGTACATAATCGTCAATCATATAAGATTTAAATTTATTCCATAATAGCTTTAGATTATTAGGAGTACAAAGTATTAAAAGTGTAGCAAATAAACGTCTTAAAGAGTCAGAAATTTTGTACAAAATAGTTTGAGATAAATATTTTTCACAATGATTATCACCAATTAGAACACCGTGTAAAAGTGCTACTTTTCGATATGTTACAACAGTCATGCCATTTGAACTTCGTAAACTATCAAATGATATTGCACCTCTAATATGATTAAGAAGCATACGAATGAAATATCGTTATCCTTCAGACGGATTAACTGTCACAATTCGTCCTATAACAACGTGTTATTTTTTGTGTGTCCAAATTTTTCTACTTCAATTCCATACGAAATAGGTTGGGAAGTCTTGATATAATAATGTTCGAGCAAATTCGTTTGCTTGATTCATCCGAAAAAAATTAGTTAACATTGTTCTTTTCGTATTCTCATTTGCAGTAATATTAAATAAATTATCTTTACTATTATAAGTTACATGTTGATGATCTTCAATATGTAGTTATAAAGTATAAACAATATGATGTATTTCTGACAAATTAAAAGAAAAAATTCTCCACATAGTTTCAGGTGGAGATATCCATCTAACTGATTGGTAGACAGGAATTTCATCTATCTCTTTATTTGTTTTGTTTTTTGTCAATAGAGAAATTAATACGATCATGTCCTTTATATATGTATTTGTATAAATATTTTACTGCTTTAATAGAAGAACATACTTGAACGTTAATATGGCGTCAAATTTTGCACTTAAATAAGGATTATATAGTATTACCCATCGATTATCTAACATTTGAATCTAACTTTAATAGAAATACCACTATTACAACGTTTATATAATGGGTATGAGTTGTCATCAAATATAGTATTATTGCAATAATCTTTAGGATATTTGTTTTTACAACAATTATTTGCTAACATACATACATTCTTTGGATTTAGNCATACATACATTCTTTGAATTTAGATTACTATAAGGACCATATATATTGTGTTTTAGAATAACAGCATAAAGATATGGATATGTATTTTTACAAGGAATTTCAGATGATACTATCCTATCAACTTGATCAACACAAGAAATTTCATGAGCAGAATTAAGAATCAATAGTAGATGTGTATGAGGCAGCCTTTATTTTTTTGAAATTCGATCGTGTATATATGAGCAACATCATGATCAAAAATATTTTCTTTGTATAAATCATTTTTTAACTCTTCTAATTTTGCTCTAAATATACGTACAACTAAATCTGGTCGATTTTGAATTTCATCATTGTGTTTCAATTCTTGCTTAATTTCTGGCCAAT